TGGCAGATTCGGGTGGATGCCGCATATATGTTATATACATACTCATAAAGGTCTATATAGATCGAATATAATATGAATAGTATAATTGCATTCAAAGACAGATCTGCCGGATGCTTGAAGATGAAGATGTTGGACGACTTGAAGAGATTGAGAAAAATGAGATGTCACTTGATCCATTCGCAATGTTTGTGACAGATGTGCACAGATGCCACCGATTTCTGCACTGGGTTGAACCCCCCAGGCCGTTGAAATCACGCCAAGAAGTGTGAAGATGAAGGTCCAGGACGGGAATGGTGAAGGGTCGTGTGAAGGTTTGAACATGGCCTTCCTTTCCTGTTTTAGCCCGCTACGCCCTGCTGGCCCTGCCTCCTTACTTAATGAAGTAGGCGCCTACTTAATTAAGGGAACAGTTCGCTCCTAGCTGCTCCTAGCTGCTCCAGCTTCTAACTGGACGCAAGATAGCTCACGCTTCCTTGAAGAAGCGCTCACACTATTCATTTGGTTCCTAGATTGTTGGGGAAACTTAAATACAGTTTCAGGGCATAGCCTTCTGGGCTGGGTGCCCAGTGTTTGAGCATAAGGGGCATGGTTATCTTCTTTTGGGCCAGCTTTGCAGGTTCCACTGCAGTTCAAACTTGCAAAAGCTGGGACAAACTTGGACACACTTTGGAACTATCTGGCGGCAGCTACTGTTTTCTTTCCTTGCTTCAGAAGACCAAAGTGGAAGACAGAGCTGGCGGCAGCTACACGGGCGAGTGGTTAGGCTCGATGCGGCACTTGGCTTTGTTCTTATCTTTTTCTTTTCCAAAGAAATGGTCTCCAACATATTAGCGGTGGCCTCCAACCTAAAAGCGATGGCCTCCAACCTAATAGTGATGGCCTCCAACCTAATAGCTTGGCTTCGTTCTTGTCTTTTTCTTGTCCATGTTCGCCCCATTTGCTTGAAATCCCCACTTTCTTTCCAGGGTGCTTTCGGCATGGCAAAGGGACGCAGGCATGAGAAGAGCATGAACACATGGAGCATTTGGAGCATGACGCAGGCATCGAGTAGACCAGATTCGCTTGGGGCATGGCTAGTTCAGGTCTGGGCCGATGGCTCATGCTATTCGGGCCAATGGCTTCAGGATGTTCCTCATGGCAAAGGTCGACTTGAGCAGGCCGCGTCTTCAAGCGCTTGGCGTGCTTGCTTCTCAATCGGTCAATCGGCTTAGTTTGTTGCACGTCCAACTTCTGTTTGTACCAGGGTTCATAGAACTTTAAACCTATTTTTGTTGGCTTTTTGAGGACGGGTGCATGCTTATTTTGTGTAAGCTGACAGGGGGACGTTTACGATGGGCAATGGAGATATGGCAAGGCACAAGCGTTGATGTTTGTATGAGATTCCTTTTGCTGTTTGATGTCTCTTCAATTCCAATTTCATTGATCGACTGCTTTTTGGGAGGCTTGTGGCCATGGCATTCACATTGCAGCGAACAAAGTCAGGTTGGCACAAGCCATCTCTACCTTCGGTCCAAATCTCTAGTCCCCCTTGTTGTCAGCTGGCTCTCAGATAAGAGCAAAGGGTGAGTAGCTACCAAGCTTAAGTACCTACTAGCGATGGCCTCCAGCCTAATTGCGATGGCCTCCACCCTATTTGCTTTCCTGCAATTCCTTGTCAGGTACGAGGGCGAGTGGGTCAACGACCAAAAGCATGGCCACGGGGAGGAGCATTATGCTGATGGTGGACGCTTCTCTGGAAGTCCCCCGGCTATGCACACCTAGCGACCGCCAAGCATGCCGAACGACATGTCGAAAAGAAGATGATGAACGTTGAGAAACACTTTGAATCGAATGCCGAAGCGAGGCTATGAAGAAGGCTACAAATCTGGAGAAGGTCTTTTCCGCTGGCCAGACGGCTCTGAGTACAAGGCGGAGAAGGGGAAGTATTCTGTATTCCATCCACTCCTAAATTCCTTACACATGATGAATGCACATTGTAATGCGGTATGTATCAAATTGAATGCCTTTTCATTGTCTTTCTGTCTTTTCCCCAAACAGTTTGCTGTTGGGGTTCTCTCTTAGGAAGAAAAGGGCTGGCCATGATAGTAGTGGCGCACGTCTGCCCTTTCTTCACCGCCAAGTCCGGGTCTTCTCAAGATCTCTGTGTTTTGTTTGTTTGCGTTGCCGGGTCCGGGCCTTCCTTTTCCCTTGCTTGGCCGCACTGTTTTCCCTCTCTCCACTGTTGATATGACGTTCGCAAACAGCTGGAGGCCATAGGAATATAATTGCAGACGCTTCCACCAACAATTGAATTCAAGGATTTGACGCAAAGTCCTGCTGAAGCTGTTTGGGGTCTATGTTGGTATTCATATCTTCCATGAGAAGCCTTACTAGGTTGCTACTAGGTTGGAGGCCATCGTTACTAGGGTGGAGGCCATCGCTACTAGGGTGGAGGCCATCGGTACTAGGGTGGAGGCCATCGCTACTAGGTTGGAGGCCATCGCTACTAGGTTGGAGGCCATCGCCACTACTAGGTTGGAGGCCATCGCTACTAGGTTGAAGGCTATCGGTACTAGGGTGGAGGGCATCGCTACTATAGGTTGGAGGCCATTGCTACTAGGTTGGAGGCCATCGCTAGTAGGTTGTATGTAACTTTACATGTGCGTCTCATTTTGAGGGCCACTTTTTCAAGGATTACTTCTGCGGTCATGGTCCGAAGCCCGGCTTTGCTCCACGAGCGACGGGGCGTGGCGGCGTGGCGCAGAAACTTTGAGGCCGACAGAAGTGGCCGGATGGCCGGAGCTATGATGGGCAGTGGCAAGCATCCTGGCTCAGTGGCAAGCGTTTCTGCTTGGACTTCTGTGCGTCTTCAGAAGTTAGGTTTCCCCAAAAATCTAGGAGCCAAATGAATAGTGCGAGCGCTTCTTCAAGGAAACTCCCTCCCGCCCTTCGCTTAAGTAGCTAGGAGCTGACTCCCTTACTTGATTAAGTAGGCGCCTACTTGATTAAGTAAGGAGGCAGGGCCACGGGCTAAAGTTCTTTGAAACAAAAAGGAAAACACAAAAACATCATCTTGTTGTTCTTGTTTTGTGATAAGAAAACTGCCCGACGCCTGCATCATTTCTCTCAACTTGCGGACGCGGAGGCAAACCTGATGCATGGTCAGGGACGCTTCAAATGGCCCGATGGCCGATCTTACCACGGCACTTATCGTGATGGTCTGAGGTTGGGAACGGCGGGAACGGAAGGCTTCCATGCACGCCCTTGCACCCTTCCATGTCTTATACCTTTTTTGGGACCACTGCAGTTGACCACAGACAAGCACAGAAGCACCTGATAGGCTTATATATATATATGTATACTGGTTAATACCTGCTTCCTGTGCAGGCATGGTCAAGGCAAATTCGTTTGGCCCGATGGTCGCATCTACGAAGGCGCGATCCAAGCCGAAAGCAAGCACCAGGGCCAAAACGACAGGAGATTCTTTGTCTTTGCAGAATTTGCCATACGTCATGACAGCATGAAAGGTGAGTGGGAGGCAGGCAAACAGCATGGCAAAGGCTGGGACTGTTGCAGTCGATAAAGACTCTCTGGGAGAGTCTCTCCCTGTTTACCAGGGATGGCCTCCAACCTACTAGTGATGGCCTCCAACCTACTAGCGATGGCCTCCAACCTGCTAGCGATGGTCTCCAACCTCCTAGCGATGGCCTCCAACCTAATAGCAATGGCCTCCAACCTACTAGCGATGGCCTCCAACCTACTAGCGATGGCCTCCAACCTGCGAGTGATGGCCTCCAACCTGCTAACGATGTTCTCCAACCTACTAGCGATGGCCTCCAACCTGCTAGCGATGGTATCAAACATACTAGCGATGGCCAGTAGCGATGGCCTCCAACCTACTAGCGATGGCCTCCAACTCAATAGCAATGGCCTCCAACCTGCTAGCGATGGTCTCCAACCTAGTAGCGATGGCCTCCAACCTAGTAGCGATGGCCTCCAACCCAATAGCAATGGCCTCCAACGTGCTAGCGATGGCCTCCAACCTACTAGCGATGGCCTCCAACCTACTAGC